CTAACATTGTATGATTTATATTTCTCAGTTCAGGCTCCCTGAGACACCTGTGGTGGTTAAGACACTTATGAAAAAAATAGGAATTGTATAACTTCCATGATTTTGTAGATGAATTAAATAGCTCTTTTCATGGTCCTGCCCCTGCTCTATGAAGAAGGATGCTATGTTTTTTTTTTGGAGCTAGTACTGTTTGTTTAAGAATCAAAATCAAATAGAAAATGCTGATGAAAATATGGTAAGAAAACATGATTTGAACTAAGGATGCTAAATGGAATTTTAGGTTCATTAAAATATCATTAGTTTGTTTTTAAATTATATAACTGAAGGATTTAAGGTAAGTAAATGAATATAACATATTAACGATAAGGCATATATATATACATATATATACATTGAAAAACTTTGTGTTTTGGATAAATTAATGTGCTTCAATCTTTATGAATATTTACTTCAAAGGAATACTTTCAGAACATGTTAAACAATTAAAGCACTGTTTAATAATAATCAGAAATGAATTGGTTTTCCAAAGCAGTCAAGTTTTATACATACCTGAGTCAAAAATCAAGGTGACTTTCATTTTTCAAACAAAGAGTTGCACTGCATCTCTGTCATTCTCCTAGCCTACAGTCATGTTTTGTATCATGTGGCAGTTAAAGAAAATGTAGCCTATAATCCTATTCACTTATTTTCAATTTAGTTTGCCATCTACTACTGGGGCTCATTTTCATAGGATTGAAAGCATTTGGTTACTCAGTCATTATTGTTCTTCAATCTATACAAGTGAATGAGTGACAATTACTAACATAGGAATAAAGGCTTCAATACAGTTAGAAATAAAAGAAATTTTATAGTTCTTTTTCTTATAAATATGCAAAATATTTAAAGGAAGAAACAGTTGATAACCCTAAGAGCTTGAAATCAAGTGAAGGATAGGCATGTTTCCTTCAGAAAAAAGCATACCTACATTAAAAGCTGGTTTGCTATTGATTAGTGTCTTTTGTTGTAAAGTCTATAGGTATAGCATTGAAGAACTTAATGCAGATGAATTTAAGCATTTTCCAATGAATGGATATGCAGTAGTATTTTCTTGTTACTTTCTAGACACTGGTTTGAGTTTAAGACTTTGCCCTTTAAGTCACCACTTTCTGCCATAGTTTTTTATGAAGCCACAGGATTTTCTCTTAGATTCACGAGTCATTCAAGTTTCATGTTTTAAGAGAGGTGTTGAGTTCTCTGCATAACCATTATTATTTATGTTACATGCGTATAACAAGTGTCTTACTCTACTGAGTTTCCCTTTACGGAGGGCAATTATGAAAGTAGTGACTACGACAATAAAGATACTTTGAACTTTACTTTGCACTTGTGTTGTTACAGCCTTAGAACACAGAACAGATTCTGGCAGAAATAACTATGAAATAAATATTTTCCAATTGATTAAATGTATGAATGAAAGATTCATACCATCTCTAACTTTTACTAATAAAGTCTACAGAGGCTTATTTTAATAGGTACTTGTAGGGTGGTTTATTTTAGGTATAACACATTGTATTTGTCTTCCAATACCATGCGTATGAGATGAAAAAAACATTTTTAAAAAAATAATAAGATCAGTGCTCTAACTCCTGAACTATGGAGCCCTCATATAGAGAAGATTTCCTTTTCTTGGGGGAATGTAGTTGCTATTAGGTTGTCTGTGGCACAGTGGATAGCCTTAGAGCCATTTGCACATGGCTAGTCCCAAGTGAACGAAAGCATTTAATGATAATAATGATGGTGATGATGATAATAATATTAATTATAATAATAGTAATAAAATGAGAGAATGTAAAGTTGAAGGGAGAGAGGTTATTGTGTCTTGAGGGCAGATAGAATGGACATAGTAGGTGGTAGATAAAAGTACATTTTACATATATACGAATTTTTTTTTTTTGGTTTTTGGAGACAGTGTTTTTCTGTATTGTTTTGGAGGCTGTCCTGGAACTCGCACTGTAGACCAGGCTGGACTCGAACTCACAGAGATCTGCCTGCCTCTGCCTCCTGAGTGCTCAGATTAAAGGCATATGCCACCAACGCCCAGCAGAAAATTAAAAAAATAAAATATTACTTATAAAATGAACAATCCTGGTTCAGTGAATTTGTAGCATATATCAGTGTGTTCATAAGTGGTAAGAAAGAGTTTCTCATTTTTTTTAATGACTGACTGGGAGCCCCGTCACTGACAATTTCTCAGAAAATTAATTTCTAAAACCCAAAGTACTTTTTATATCAGTTACACAAAAGATGCTTGACACTAAAAGACATTAGACTTGGAAATGATTTGATTTTTTGGAGGGGTAAAAATATCTTTACAATTACAGATTCTAACATAATTTAATATTTGGCAGAGCTCTAAAGTTATTTAGTAATGACTAACTATACTGACATTTCAATTATCTTCAATAAATAAAATATTCAGTGTTCTTTCCCAGACAGCAATCCTTTTCCTGAGGAAACAGAAAATATTACACTGTAATACAAGATTCTGTAGCTTTAGACTCTGTCCTTTGCTTAGGTTGTAAGAACATGAAAAAAATACAGCATACAGTACCAGCATCACATTTTGGTCAAGTCATGGTGACTGCTTGTTTTAAAACAATGAACTTTATTCTACTGTCTTATAGTCAGTGTATTGTTAGGAAATATTTAAAACTCCCCTTTTTGTTTTACATTGAGATACGAATTTTAGAGAGAAGTTGTTGTCAACATTTGTTTTAAACAATGAGGATGAGAAGAGATATTCTAAGATAAAGAACATTAAAGCGCAAGCATAAAAAGGAATGATGTGCAGTGTGCGCCTAATTACATTCCCCAACAAGGCACTAAACAATATTTTAAACAGGTTATGTTCCAAAATTTCAGTGAACTGCAAATAAAAAGAGATATACTAGGTTTTAGAATACATTTTGTAGAATTAAATCTATGTCAGTATCAGTTCAATTAGTTACAGCTGCCAGAGCAAAGATAGGAAATTCACAATGAAAAGATGAGTCTGAGACAGACTATCCTTAATTGCCATCCAACTGTAGAGAAGTGGGTATTGAATATCTATATTTCAAGAAGGCAAAGAATTTGACGACTTGCTTCTGATAATATTGACTTAACAACCTTTAGCAACATCAGCAGAATTAATATTAAGTGGCATTTCTTTCATGTTGAACATGCTTTGGACGTGTCGGGATTTCTATAAACACAATTTGTTTCTTTTTGACTGTTAATAATGAATGTTTTGTTTTGTTAATTTCTACCTGAAAAATTACTTTGTATTAAACTACCCATTTTATCTTTTTATTTATTTTTTAGCCATAAACAAAAAATCAAAATAAAATGTTTCCTTGGTGTTGCCTTCTTGCTTTGCACACAAAATGAAACATCTTTCTGGTATATTTAAGCAAAAGTATGAGAAATAAAACACAGTTGTGGATATACCTCTAATTGATTGGGAAAGACAATTAATTAATATTTTGCCCAGTCTATAAGACTGAACCCATATCAGACCCTGTTACTAAAGCTAAAAACTTGGGTCCTAAAGGAAAACCTACTAAAATTATTGTGTAAAGGAACATAGCAATAAAATGAATCTTTTTTATAATTTTTTTATTTTAAAACAATCTTTTCTCATTTTATATGCCAATCCCAGTTCTTATTCCCACCTCCTGCCCTCCCCACCTCTGGCAGAGAGGGAGAGCAAGGAAAGAGATGCCTTGATAGAGGGAGTCATTATGGGGTTATCGAGAAACTCAGTACTATGGAAATTCCCAGGAATCCACAAGGATGACCACAGCTAAGACCCTAAGCATCAGTGGAGAGGCTAACTGAACTTGCCTTCCCCTGTAATCAGATTGATGATTATCTGAATTATCACCAGCAACTGATAGAAGCAAATAAAATGAATCTTAATGACATATTGTTATACCTATAGAGCCGTGCATTATTCAGCATCATTAGAGAGACTTTTCCTTATAGTAGTAGATGGTAACACAGACATAAAACTGAGCAATGTGTAGAGAATGAGTGACTTTGGAATACTCAGCCTTAAATAGCTTTTTTTTTCTATCAAACCCTTTCAAGGTTTAAGAATCTATGCAGAAGATCCATGAATACTGTAAAAGCTAGAGATGGTGGCTGACTCTAAAGCAATAGTGTCTTCCAGACACAGCAGGGCTGATATGAATTGAAAAAACAGTAACAGCATGTGCAAGGCTGCATAAGTTCAAGCCATACAAAATTCCATCATGTGGAATGGGAAGTAGACATAAAGTCTTCTGCTAGCCAAGGAGCCATATCCATTGATAGCTGCTGGGGAGGTGGAGAGTCTCTTACGTCCACTGACACTGGATATATCAACCACATACTCCAAAGCATATCACAATCAGGAGTAGTTGACCAACCCAGAACAAACTCCATGGGCCGTGGACTTTTGGTTTTGGTTTTTAAGAAGGAGAAAAAACATGCAGTTTTATGGACAGAGAAGAAGGGGGGGATCTGGAAGTAGTTGGGAGGGGGAATAATATGCTCAATATGTTTGTGGAAAGTATCTTTAATAAAGGTCGATACATTTGAAAATAAAAGCATGTTAGCCAGAATTTTTAAATAAACAAATTACAATTAAAATAACATTATGTTTTGTTTTAGTTGACATGTAAAAAGGATGTCAACATAACTGGGCGAATTGAAACTCTGTGCATTTAGCAACATTTCATTTAGGGCTAGCTTTCATGGACAAAATTAAATATGCACTTATAAAGAAATATTGGTATCTGTCTATATTAAAAGCACACTCATTAGAGAGAAACATTTTGTCTTATTAGGCCATACTGCCTAGGATATAACAAAACTCTATCTTAAAGAGGAATAAAAGCAACAAGATCATGAACATCACAACTAAACAAGCTTATCAAGGATGTTCAGCATTATAAAGAATGGGAAGACAATTTTGAGAGAACAGCAAATGGACTTACCATCTTGATCTGTGGTCACAGTAATAGCTGTGAATGGCTTGGGAGAAATGCTCAGCTCAGAAACTCCATTCATGGCTTCTATTTCAAAGGTGTAATTGACATGAGACACGAAGTCAAGTACTATCACAGAATTGTTGGTCAGTCCAGTGTGTCTTGGGATGAAGCGGAGTCCTCCACCACAGTCCTCACATTGGCTGGTGTCTAAGCCACACTTCTTACAGATTACACTGTACGTGAGATCCTTTCTCCCTCCTGTGTCACTAGGTGGGCTCCATTCCAAAATAAGGGCTGTTTCATTGATGTTAAAGGCTACATTTCTAGGAGCTGAAGGTGGCCCTAGAGAAAAGCAATGAGAAAACAATATATATATATATATGGATAGGTCAATGAATGATGGTGGTGCTACACTGAAATTTTCATGAATACATGCTGCTGATCTTTAATGTTAATTGTAGATAATTTCCTTACAAGAGCTATAAAAAACTTGTCTAAATATCTGATGAAAGAGAAAATCTTTAAGTGTGAATATAGTATATTTTTTAATTTTTGAGTATTTAAATTCCAACATTTAATGTCAAAGTCAAAATACACTTTTAAGTTTGTTTGCTATAAATATGTAATGGATAGAGATTGTAAACTATGAAATGGACATCCTTATATCCTCATTAATTTTATTGTGATTTCACAATTTGAAACCAACTGGGGTATGTATACTCAGCACACTGTTTCAGTCTTCCAGCCCTCATACTGTCATTATTATATAGATAAATGACACATTCATTTCTGTTGCCAAACCCATAGAATCTATTTTCCAACAATTGGTTATAAATGGTCATAAATTTAGGGAGGGAAGACTATTTAGGAACAGAAATGAAAATCAGAGACAGCATAAAACCCTTTCATGGAGCCTTTCCAACTTGAAGCCATATATGCATTATGATATAAGATAAAACCACTTTATTTTTATTTAGATGATGTCCAGTAAACATAACTAACCTAGACCTTCACTGTGAAATGTCCCTAAAGAAGATTCAGTCAAGCCTCTCTTCATTGTCATCAAACATATATTCTTTCTGGTTTCCTATATATATCAAAACACACATAGTACTCAACAGATTTTCACTACCAGTCATGTTGTAAAGTTATACAGTCATCTTTTATATTCATGCTAGTCTTCCACATCTCAGTTATTCTTCATTCATTGAGTAAATACTACCCGAGGGTCTCATCAGTGCCAGACTCTGTGTTGAGGGCTATTTTAATGTCATAAAATCCATGTACTGTGAGAATATATTTATGAGACATAATTGGAAAAATAACTCATTATACAAGTGCTGGAACACCAATATTCTGACACAACTTAGAATTTGGTTTTAAGACATCTAGAATAGTTCAATAAATTTCTTTTATTAATAGAAACTGCTCAGTAGGTGGGGATTCTGCAACATCCTCTTAGGACAGAAACTCAAAATGTGACGTAGGCAATCTTTTGAATATAATGCTATGATCATTTGTTCATTAAGTTAACACTTTATTTAGTGACTACTATATGACAAATACTCTAGGGGATATAGTAGACATTACCCCTTCTTCACTGCAGTTAACATTCAGTGGAAGAAGAAAAACAAACCGATTAATGGATTCAAATACCATAAGAATTAGAATTTTAACAGGCAAGAAATATCAGTAGGAATTAACTCTTCATAACATCATGAGGAAGCATTGAAAGTGATAAGAAACATTATCAGTGTGCTGGGAAGAATATTAGGGGTCAAAAGTACGTAGTTACAGGCAAGAAAAATCTTGAAAGTCATGGAATACACAAAGAGGCACCTGGGTTAGAAAGCAGACAGAGAATCCATGAAGTAAGTTGTAAGGACTAGAAAGGGAAACCATAGGTTTCTACTTAGAACAGCTAGAAAATTTCCTGTGTTCAACAGAGGGAAGTGTGTGTGTGTGTGTGTGTGTGTGTGTGTGTAGGCATTCACATGCCACAGAGCTCACATGGAGGTCAGATAACAATATTCAGTGGCAGTTTTTACCTTCTGCCTTTTTTTGACACATGGTCTCTTTGGTTGTTTCACAAGTGGATATAATTCACAAGCTTTTGGGTATTCTCCCTGTCTACTTCCTTACTCCTTGTGGGAGCTAGGATCATAAAAAGTTTGCTCCACATATTACATTTTTATGTATGTTCTATAGATTTGAACTCAGGACCACACAAAAAAAGGACTTTTCTATTTACTGAGCCATTTTCCCAGCCAGACTTGATGGTTTTAAAGTATGGAAATGATATGATTTAAAATCACATCAGTGCAAAGCATGGTGTGTAGCATGAGAACAGGGAGCATGAAAATAAGTTCTCCTTTATAGTGATGATGAGCAGAATATTAGCCATAAATCTATATGAGATACTATGAAGTATTTTCTGACTCTTCCTTCCTCTTGTGCTGTTCTGATGTCAGTCACATATAGGCAGGAACCTCCCCCAGTCCACATTCCTATCATCTAATGCTAGACCTAGAAATGCGATGGGGATTTTTATTAAAGAATGCTGAATTTCTTGCTTTGTGTCATTTCATGTTTCAGCAGGCTTACAGATATGTGTGTCTTTAGATAGGAAAATATGGAGAAACACAGAATCAAATGTGCATTTTACCTTCTTCCTAAATTTATGCATGTGTGATAAAAATGGTTTTTCCTAATAATGCCTCACTGCTACACATTAATATTACTGATTTTTCACTTATTTATAATATGTGTTATTATTCACATATACCTCTACAACTAGGAAACATTATCAATGATATTATGGGTGTTCACAAGTATATAACTATACTTGGACAACTGCTTGGACATATGTTAAAAATTTTAAAAACAGAGACACCCTTCTTACTCAAGGGTCCTCACACCAATTTGCATAATGATTAAATAGCTTTTTAATTGCTGTTAAATTATGCCAGCTAAACTGTGATGTCATGCAAATATTAAGCTGTAATGACACATACTGAATCATTTACTAAGATTTAGAACTTGGAAGCCAGAGAGACAATTAATTCTAATCCTCGGATTCAACTAAATTATGTGTCACTGGACTTTTCTGAATGTGGCCAGATTGCTTTTGTTATCATTTATAAATTATACAAAGATTATATGACACCCAGAAAACATAATGTGGCAGCAGTATTGCATTTAGGGACATTTATATTGAAAACTCTTAGGGATTCCCTTATGTTGTTTTTTTTTAACTTTGGACAAATAACTCACATCAGATAGAAGACAGTTCTTATCCTTGCCCTCCAGCCTGACTTTATAATGAGAGCACAATTACTCTGACCTGTAGTGGCAGCTATAAAGATAAGAACATGAAAAGTTTTACAGTAACACTGACTGTATTTTTGCTACACTTTGTACTACTAATGTTATGTTCAAATAGAGTCTCTGCTCACAGACATCCTTTGCTTCAATTTGGATTTTCTCTTCAAACTTTGGAAGAATAAAAGCCCAATGCTCAAGTAAAATACCCGAGACACAGGAAAACTATTTCTTCCTTTCCTATTCCTCAGACAGCACCTGGTTCCACAGATGCTGTTTCCTCTCATGCCACATTGGCTGGGTATGTTATAGCTATTATCTTATAGTAAGTTTTATTTTTTTAAATGAAAACTGGTTTAAAGTGCTACTGTGTCTTTCAAAATATCTCCATGCAATATACTAAGTCCCACATGATATCAAATAAAACCGAATTCAGTGTTCAAATAAGAGTCTTCTGGCCCATTGCCACTGGAAGAAAAGTAATACAATTTATTTTGCTTTGTTGACTCCAGCATTTCCTCAAAATTGGTTCATTGCATTTTATCTAGGAAATGTGTGAAGTAATACTAGAATTCTACAAAACAGGCTAATAATGGTTCTCAATCTTCCTAATGCATTTAAAAACATACCCTTCTAGAAATGATCAGGTGAATATTTTTGTAAATGTATATGGCTGTGATTTCAATTAAATAATGATAAATGCATCTGGTCAGCAAAAAAGTACAACTTTAGACCTTAATAACACCCTAAAATATGTTCCCAAATTTCTGTATAGGCTTACATTAAAATTCTAGAAGTCATATTGTCATCTCTCACCACTATTTTTGCTTTTATAGACAATTACATTGTTAATGTAATGATATGCCTATATCTTTTAAAGTTTATTTAACGGGGACATTTATTGAGAGAACATTGGACTCTGTAGGACTTTTTTTTACTTTCAAATTCTGTAATTAAATATTTATGTATTTGGAAATGGATAGAAGCAAGAAAAAATGAAAAACAAAACAAACAAACAAACAAACATAAAACCCAAAAATCTCTGATTCTGAACTCGACACAAGGAAAGAACTACAACAATTTGGTTGAATGAAAAGCAACAAACCAATTAGTATTCGAAATTACAGCAGTTTCACGAGAGACATCAGGAATGGCATGATACTAGGGAGAGCCTCTTTATTTTTGTTGTAACTTTACTACATTGTAGTCTACACAAAGATAGAAATCCTGGCAAGGAAATATTAGAAAGCATTTTATGCAGTTATTTTCTTCAAATTATTGTCAACTCAAAAATTTTAGAGCACACAATTCAGCATAGGAAGACAAATTGTCTTCTTATCTTTATTTAATATTCTCACATTTAATTTAAACATCTAAACTTATTTCTAAAATAAAGAATGGGTGTTCATTAATATTTTTATAGTGTTATGTTTAAAGAATTGAATAATATGTTTAAAGTTTAAAATAAAAACATAAATGAATAGACCAAGCACCATTCATTTGTGAAATACAGTCCAAGGTTCTCAACTTAGTCTACAAGTGTTCAAAACCTTGCCATGGTCCATTTTTTTAAATCTTTCCTTCTTTTTGTTTCAGCCTATTGGTCAACATTTCTTCTTTCAACACTTTGTAAGACACAGTACAGTCTAAAGACTTGGAAAATTCCTGGAAGAGGTTCCTACCGACTCAGGAAGGAAGCAACCAAGAAGCCTCAGTAAGTCCCTAAGATGACAGTGTACGCTAGGCTTCAAAATTGTACAGATAGTAACAGCTGCTGGTGAGAAAGATATCAGGGAACAATTCAAAAGAAGCTCAGATCAAATGAGCTACCTAGAAGGCAGACTCTGACCTCCCTGAGTTAGATAGCTAGCTCTAGGATTCCAATTTCCATGAGTTGTCTTTGCTAGGGTGGGCTCTTTGTGGAGCATCTGCTTTAGAGAAATCCCTGCTCCTTTTAGTACCCATCCCCCCCCACGTTTCTATAAGCAACCTGAAAATAATGCAATGGTTCATCAAATTAG